GGATTGCCCACAGCACTGAATGTATCTAAGTAGCTGTGGATAAAAGCGTCCAACAAGTTAAATGTTATGTAATGATACAAGGAAGTCCCCTCTTCACAAGTGCAATCTGCAACCTCAGGGAACACATAGTAGACTGTAAGGCTAATCATTAAATAGGAGCAGGTTCCCAGGGAATAAATGGACAACAGGCAAATATATAACGTGACAACAATGACAGGCCATGCAATGTTCTCATTTGGTTATTTATCTCAAAGCAGGAGATAAAGTTTGCTTACTGGACACAAACAGAGAGTTCTTTTAAAAGGTTAGGCCATTGAGGACGCTGATAAAGTTTTGTGGGAATTGGGGAGTGTTATTCAGCTCAGGTAGAATTCTACAATTAAACTATAAACTATATTTTTAACTGGATTACATTACCAACAAAATAAAGAAATGCATTGTATGTACAGTGTGTTCATACATTTAACGGCAATTCTTTATTGGACCTGTCAGATGTTAAATGTGACGGGTATTAACATGACAAAGATGTGTTTTTATGGTATTGGAAACTCGTGTTTGTGTTGGCGATAAAACATATCCATCCTATTCTCACATATTTCCCTATCAATGTAATAACTACAATGACATAAGCTCCAGAGAGAAAAGTCCCACCAAATGAATACACCAATCTCAAAAACATCAAGTGTCCCCTGTGTTGTATTTAAGGTACTATGTATCTGTATTATTCACAGGGATGGAAGATGTACTGCAGGGTAGCTTGTGAATTTACTCCAGGTGGAACTAAAGTCTGATTTAAGACTTGATTATATTTCACATCATTCATCCACATCTGTAAAGTAACTAAAGGTATTCAATACATGTAGTGGAGTAAAAGTACACAATATACCTCTGAATTGAAGTGGAGTAGAAATACAAAGTAACATCAACTGGACGTACTCAAGTAAAACACAAGTATCTCAGAATTGTTACTTTACACCACTGATTATTTGCTTATCTTATTGTTGTTTTGTCTCCACAGCTATAACAGCAGACACATGCTGATTATTCTGCTTCATTATTATTTTAACACTCGGAGAGTATAAGTACATCATCAGTACTAGATGTGAGTCTGCAAATATAACCAACCACAGTCCCTCATGTTGTCTGCAGCGGTTCATTAGAGAAGGAGCTGCAGTCTGGAACAAAGACAGCCTGGTGACCTCAGACAGCTTTTCAGTAGATATGAAGGCTTCATTTTTGGAGATACTGTATCAGTCTAGCTTTGGCTTACTTAGCAAAACTGCTCCTAGTCATTTCTAAATTCCAGTCTCTTATTTCACTCTCAATTCAGAAAATGAAACAAGTAATCGATCTCAGGGGTTTATCACGACACTCTGAGACTTCTGCTGCTGAGACTCAAAGTATTTCACATCTTTTGTTACATGATGGGACACCATTTTGAGGCCCGCTACACATACAGAAAAGGCTTTTGTGGGCGAAGAGGCTGTTGAAACCACCGGGTTTGATATATAATGTGGGAGTCATTGACAACACCGACAATGGGAAGGCACGTTATGACTATAGATGATGTGAGAAGTTACACACTGAGGCTGAGATGTAAGGCCGTACAGAAATTCAATTAAAACTGTGTCTGTGGCCATAAGCACCGTGTCAAGATGACAAAGATTGGTTTTATAAAGCACACATGTTATTTTCTGCAGTCCGAATAGGAAATCTATTTATTGAGATGCAACGCCTCGATGTTGCACATTTCTCTTGTTTCTGGTTCTAAAAGAGAAGTGCTTCTGTTGCTCAAATGTTGTGACATTATGCCAAATACTGCTTCAATCAAAATTTTAACCATCTACAATAGTCCAAACCAAATATTTAAAGGTGACCTATCATGCAAAATGCACTTTTGTACGTCTTTTCTACATGAATGTGTGTCCCCGGTGTTCCAGGGAACTCACCAAGTGTCAGAAAACACAACCCTCTCTATTTTCCTCCATACCCAAATCTCTTAAAAAGGGGCTGCAACGGATCTGATCCAGACTGATCCAGATTTGAACACTTTACTGACGTCACAGAAGTGGCGCTACGTCTATTGGGCCAACTCCACCAATCAGGAGGAGACAGCCACGGACATTGCCGTTCGAAAGCGCTGGAGACGCTGTAGTACATATGCCAGGCCTGTAGATGGTTGTTACATTGTTGTTACAATGTTAAATTGAGCGAAATGAGGAATGGCTAAAATGCATGATCTGTTTGGTATTTTGAAAAATAAAAAGTATAAATATGCCTTATATAGGTATGGTCATACACTATATTATTCAAATATAGCATGATAGGTCCACTTTAAGCATGAATGGTTCAACTGTCCCCTAATTACAAGCAGACAACACATTGTCATTTTTTTATAGGATTACATAATCCATAGACAACATTCACAAGCCAGCGATCCTTGTTTCCTGGCAACTTCTTCTCTCAAGGATGAATGAAAAAAAGTGTAGAGCCGGAGCACGTAGGAAGGCCCACCGGATCAGGTTTTTCAATGAAAACCAAGAGCGTTGGCAAAGGAAACGCGTGACTCAGAAAGTACTCAAACTAATGTTTTTCTTTTGTGGTGTGGAAACATGTCAAAACAACATATGGACACAAACGCACCCCCACAGCAACACAAAGACTGAACATACAAGTGCTTCTGTTATTCTGTTGCTTTGGTGTGGAGAGTCAATGAAGTAGGCTACAGAAAAAAAAGCTCAACAGAATACTAGTTGTGCTTTTTTTTTATGCTTTCGGAGTCAATTTGTATTTATTTATGTGTAGATTACATGCATATTCAGCTATTAGTAATATTGCAGATAATAACTATAGGCTAATAACAAAACAAAATATGATTTGTTTTACAGTATGTTAAACTACATGACTTTAAAAAAGGTTCACAATGATCAAAATACGTCTGCATTTGGTATCAAAACAGCGTACTAGTAATAGCATGTTATGACTTTAGTTGTACAGTATTATTTAACACTAAAGGGGAAACCATGTCTAAAGGGAAGTCATGACGATGGCTAAAAAAAATATGCAGACTGCATTCATATTCAGCTATATGTAATATTGCAGATAATAACTATAATAACAACACATAATAGTATTTGTTTTACAGTATGTTAAACTACATGACTGTACAATTAGGTTCACTATCAACAACATTAAACTGCAGCTTTAACATGAAAGCTAGACCTTTAGGTGCATTTGGCAGCAATACGTACAAATGAACTATATTTGCATTGTTTTCAATCACAATAATCTGCATTTGGTATCAAAACAGCGTAGCCTACTAGTAAGAGCATGTTAGTCTGACTTTAGTTGTAATTGACACTAAAAGGGAAACCAAAGATGGCTTAAAAAAACACAAAAGGGTCAATCAATAATATTGCATAAGCCTGCTGTGATACAGGCAGGGCAAAAGCTACAGTTCAATAAAAGTGAACATGTAAACAACATGCATCTCAGAGCAGAGGTATAGCATCTCTACCAACTGCTGAGGACACCGACACACAGACCATAGGAAACTTTGGCTACAGACTGACTGTGAGGGATGTTGGTGTGAAGCCTGGTTTAACCTCGCTATGAGTGTGTTAGTCTCGGGACAGTACTCACGCCCTGGTCTTGGGGAAGCCCATGGACAGCAGCACGTCCAGAGTGGTCCCATGTTTGATGGTGCTCGGCCGGCTCTGGCGCTGCCTCCGCGGCGTCACTTTGGCGTACAGTTCCTCTTTAGCTGCCATAACTCACTGCTCCATCGGTATGTCAGGTCCTCGGCTCCTCTGATGTATTTTCATTTAATTAAAAATAATAATAATAAAAAAGAAGGATGAAAGCGGCTTAAACCAGGGTTAGTTGTGAAAGGCGGAAACACGCAGGAAACCTTCGGAGGAAACGAGCATTTTTCTGGGTTTGACAAATGCTCCGAGCTGGATCAAGCTGCCTCCTGATGGTTCGCACATAAAGTCAAAACCATCAGCAGGGGGGTCAGCCATGGGAAGTCACTCCTGCTCTCTCAGCTGTGCCCCCGATACACAGTCCCCGGCCGAGGTGAACATGTCTGATTTCACCTCGTCCCTAGTTCCGATTAATTAAAAATCAGATGCTGTATGAGCTCTCTTTTCCACACGATGTGTTATTTATGAATGGGTCCTGAGTGAGCGGAGGAGCAGCCTGTAAAATATTGCAGCTTCAACTGTGCGGCCCCCTTAGTTAAAGGGACAGTACACAGATGTGTGAGGGGACCGGAAGTCCTGTGCGGTAAGTTCTCATGCAGAACAAGAACTAAACTGAACAACACACCCACACGCTGTTTGTACTCTTGTGTGCTTAAATGAATCACGTTAGATGAGGTAGTATGATGAAAAATGTCGAGGTAGGGCCATACGATGGAAAAAGTTAGTCACACTTCCTGTCTGGAAAGTGGGTGTCGACACTTCACGCATGCGCAGTGAACCATTAGGAGAAAAGAACGCCATCCTCAGTTGCCTTAGCAACTTGGATGGCAAACTGTAAACACATAATTTTAACATTAAAAAAATAACGTAATTTTGAAGTTGTCGTCTAATTTATTATCATCTTTACTCAACCATATAAGTATATGTGTATGTAGCTTGGTAAACAAACAAGTAACGTTGTTATTGTTAGGCTATGTAAGTTTCTTCTGAACTGCATTGGCTCTTTTGGCTGTAACAAATGTACATTTCCCCTCTGTGGGACGAATAAAGGTAGGCCTATTATGATTCTGATATAGGCCTACATTTGGTTTGAGTGAATAAATCAAGATCATATGTCACAAGATGTTTCATTGAATAGACTTGAGTCTTCACCACTCATTACCTTATTTTTAGCCAGTGACCTTGCCTGTAAAATCATCTTCACAAAAATAGATGTAGCAAGATAAGCAATTTATAGCTCAAATGTCTTTATGAAAAGTTAAATATAACCTACTATAAACATGACAGTAGACACAATTTATCAACAACATTTTATTAACCAAATATTAAGACAAAGTTACAATCATCAGCTCTAAATTCTCTACCATGGAAAGGTGAAGCAATGTAGAAAATATAGTGTTTTAAAAGTGAATATTGTAACTGAAAGATGATATATTATAAACTCATGATATATTGATGTCTGACATGATCGTACTACTAAAACACATTACCTGAGAATTAAAAAAATGTCAAGGGTAACAAATAATATAATCTTTGTGCATGGAGACAGAACTAATATTAGGACCATCATCTCACAAGAGTTTGGGTAATTTATCGTTAATATAAGGCAACACAAGAGGCCTTGCAAACAGGCAGGTAATTATTTAAAAACTTTTTTAACACATCAACTTCCACTCAACAGGAAGGCTGATGTCCGTTTGTTTCAACAGGAAGTTGACTGAAGTGTCAGTCTACACCCTGATAAATACCAATTAGTTGAGCAAAAAAAAGTTTTAAATACTTACAAATCAGACACCAAGACCAGACAAATATAATACAAGTTTAACTAGAAATGTGCATCTAAATGGTTAATGTCCTAAAAGCAGTAGTAGTATAGTTTCAAGTTAATGTAAGGAAGCTCAGGGATAAGATGATTTTAAATTACAACAGTAAAAACTGTTTAGTTATTTACAAGAAAAACAAACATTAATAGAAAAACAATATTTTACATGAGAGAAGTTTGTGTAAAAAGAGAAACGCAAACACACACAGTATGAGGATGCACACGGAAACACAATCCAAACATAGATGGTAAATCTTTTGAGGCTGAAACAGGTCACGAGTAGCCACGAGTCATTTCATTAAAACAACCTATAAAATAATTAAAGCGGTCTCACAACCTACATTTGCTAAATGATGTCCTATAACCAGGAAGCATGAGAGACAATAAAGCAGACAGTCCAATTCAACTCAAACAATCACAATGGTCCGTAAAAAACTGCCATTTAGGAGCTAATAAAATGACAGGCATCACTAAAAACTTCAGAAAAGTCCCACGCTGAGACATTTAAAACAAATGTTATCTCCCTTTTGAAGACTATACCACGAACGACGACTTCTGTTTGAATTCCCCCTAAAAACAGACATATAAAAAACATCAGAACTAGAAAATTCCTCCTGCAAATGTCCTCAACTTAACATACAGACATGATTGATTTATAAACCTTTTGAACAATGCTCATACTTACATCTTCATCTTCACCACCACCAGAATGCAAAGACGTCGGCTGGTACACCACGCTGGGCTTTGGTTTGCTGCAGGGAGAAGTGAAATACTAATTTGAAGCTCATCACAAGAGACATCATTATAAAATTAAAATAAAAAGATCTGCATTTCATTCATCACAGATCCTGTAACATCAAACATCATCGCACTACTTTTTCTGCAGTCCAAGCCACTGTGTGCAAATCTTTGCATGTTAAGTATTCATTCAAAATCAGAAATGTGGTTTTGAGGATCAAGATATATAAATATTTGTATTCAACCCAAATTGGGAAATAGTTTTGTTACAGCAGCATTGTTAACAAGAATTACACAAGTTGAAAATATAAAAAATGTAGTAAAATAAAAATATATACATATCCACAGTATATGGAAGTACATTTGTCTCATTATTATCAATGTGTTATTTATGGAATTTGTTTGTGTATTTGCAGATATTTTTGTGAGTTTACATATCTTTTTTTATGCATTTGTGGAAGGTGTTTTACATTTACAGATGACCCATTTTAGACACAGATTATTGAGCTACTAGAAAGTAAAAAAAAAAAAGGGGGGGGGGAATCCTCTTACCTCTCTGCCTTCTCTGTAAAGGAAAGAATGAGAAAAACGTCAGTGGGATAAAGTACTTTGTTTATATTGCACATATACAAATGATATGCAATACTCTGCTTAATTTATCGTAAATAAAAGGTAGTATCGTCTCCCAGAAAATGATTAATATTTCAAATGTTTTATTGGACATCCAGTATTAGGCTTCTATTATATTCTGTGGATTTTGAGTTGCATAGCATGGCTAAACATTAGCTCAGTCTGTAGGGAACTAAAAGGGTCTCCATCTTAAGTACTGATTGGAGCAAAAACAATATGGAGTTAATGATGATATGAATAATAAGTCAAATATGGAGCGCCCCAACTGCTCCCTTGGCACTATTTCAATTAACTCTGTGCTGACTATGTGTGGGAGCTGAGAAACTTCTTCAACTTGTGAAAAGAGGGAACAACTTTTCAGATGTGAACAGTTTCTGGTAATGTCAACGCTGAATATCAGAATATTGATAATCACAGATATACTATAATTTGTGTTTATAATGTGGAAAACTCACTGGGCAGGTATCCTTTCTTGTGGGCATACCAAATGCCAAGTACCAGCAGCAGCACGAGCAGCAGAGCCACAATAACCCCGGCCACAATTCCTCCAGTGTTCACGTCACCTTGAAGAGAAGCATCACATTTTATATTGCATTAGCTGAATTACACTCAAAGAACGTGGAGTGTTTAAAACGTAATACCCAAATGATAAAAGAAAAGTGAAAGCTGTTTCTAAATTATGAGTGTCTGTTGGTTCTTTCAAAGCAGCTAAACCTGTTCATAAACCTTTAAATAGCATGCTGCACACTGCACAGGCTGAGACTAGTTAGAAATGACTGTGTCTTTAATAAGTAAGTTCCGCATGTGTTTTTTAAGAGGACATAATATCATCATTTTAAGTTCATATTTGTATTTTGTGTCTCTACTGTGACATGTTAACGCGTTTAATGTTAAAAAAGCTCTGTATTTTCCTCATACTGCCTGTGCTGCAGCACCTCTTTTCACCCTCTGTCTGAAACCAGAGCCCAGTCTGCTCTGATTGGTTAGCTGGCCGGCTCTGCTATTATTGGTCAACCGCTTAGAGATGTCCCGCCCCTTAGCTTAATAGGGCCTCTAGGAAGAACAAAAAGCACTTACGGACTTCCATTTTCAGGCCTTTGCAGCGCTGCGGAGGACCAGCATCGTTGACAGCCTCACAGTAGTACTGTCCGGAGTCCATCTTGGTTACAGCGGGGTACTCCTGAAGCGGCAACAGGGTACATCTTTAATTGTAAAGGCCATAGGGACCACAGCTTTCGACGTGAAATATTCTGCAAAGTAACAGGTTGAAGCTCACCAGGTTCCCGGTGGCTGCATTCAGCTTGTAAGTGGCGTTTCGGAAGCCTGCTATCTTGCTGGGATCGGCGGGCATAAGGATGTTGTTTTTGTACCACTTGTACGTGGGGGGGGGGGGAGCCGTCGCCATCATGGCAGGTCAACATGGCCACCTTGCCCGTCGTCACTGAGGACGGGATCCGACACATGGGCGGAGATGGAGGCACTGCGGGAAACAACAGTCAGTTCAGCTGGTCTCCATGTACAGTAATACACAACCTGCATCAGTCAGTGGAAGAAGTACTCGGGTACTTTACTTACTAAATTGTTTAAATACTTTTTTACAAGTCAAAGTCCTGCATACAAAATTATACTAAAGTAAAAGTAGTCCCGACAATTTAACGTTCATACATTTGAAATGATTGTATCATGAATATTGATTATCTATAAACTGCTGCTTTATATCTTAACCTATAATTATGTGTATGTTAATTCATTATTTGATTTATATTTTGAATGAGCTAATATTCTGAATCTGTAAAATCAAATCAAGTTTTATTTTTTAAAGCACATTTAAAAGCGATTTATGGTCGAGCCAAAGTGCTGTACATGTAATAAAAACAAAAACACAGGGAATAGTCAGGAGTCATGCTCCGCTCTGACTAGAAGGCCAGAGAGAAGAACTGAGTTTTTAGTGAGGATTTAAAACCCCTAGGGTCTGGGCCGACCTCACATGGAGGGGCAGACTCTTCCAGAGCCTGGGGCCAGCTGCTGCGAATGCTCGGGGCCCTCGGGTTTTGAGCCTGGTCTTGGGCCCTATCAGCAACAGCTGGTCAGCAGACCTTAAAGCTCTGGCTGGGGTGTAGCGATGGAGGAGTTTGGCTATATAGGCTGGAGCCAGCTCATTTAGTGCTTTAAAAACAAATAAAAGGATTTTAAAATTGGAAGCCAGTGCAGTGAGGCCAGAATTGGGGTGATGTGGTCACGCTTTTTGTGGCCAGTCAGAAGACGTGCAGCTGCGTTTTGGACTAGCTGCAGGCGTTTAATTGAGGCCTGGTCCATACCCACATACAGAGCGTTGCAATAGTCCTGTCTCGAGGAAACAAAGGCATTAATAATAACCCTTTCTAGGTCTTTAAAAAGACTGACTACGGTGCTGACCTGTCGAATTGAAAAGTGCTAGTGAAGGTCACTCCAAGGTTCATGACAGAGGGGAGGATGTTTTCAAAATAACAAAAGCTGTCAGATAAATGTAGTGGAGTAAAACATATATCATTGTCTTCCATATCGTAGTGGAGTAAAATACAGTTTTTTTAAAACGTGGGTAAAGTACAAGTACCTCAACTTTTTTGAATAAGTAGAGTACTTAGGTACATGTACTTTGTTCTTTGTTCAATTCCACCACTGATTACAGTAGATACACTTTAGAACTTAAATAACAATATTAGTACAGTACGATACCCTGCATCTCTGATCCATAGAGCTTCGAAAATGGGTTGACTTTCAATATTTTCGCTGATTATCGATTTGTGAAAAAGTTTTTAGTTTAAAGCAAGGGAAAAACACTTCTACCATGGAGTACTGCAATACTGTAGTCCACTCAGATGCCAAAAATAGGAAACGTTTTATTGTAAAAATGTGAGTCAAAGTAGAGTAGAAATGTTTGAATGTAACTAGAAAAGGATCCTTACCCATCACAGTCAGCCTCACTGCGACTTCCCCAAACTGGCCTTCGCCGGCGGACACTTCGCAGTCGTACACTCCGTTATCTTTACGGGTCACTTTGTTGATTCTCAGGTTATTGCCGTACATGGTCACTCGGCCGGCGTACGGCTCTGTGGGCGAATGGAAATGTTACACGGACTGACGGATATTTAAAATGTCTTGCCAACACATTTTGGGGAATTGCTTTTTTAGCTAACAACCAATTGTGTCACCGTATTGTGTGTGCAATTCCATAATGCAAATGTTTCCTTCACTGATTACATTTTTTAAACAGAAACCTCAGTAGAAGCTTCAAATGTAAAAATCTAATAATATTCAGAACCACCCGTTCCTATTTACAAAGCCAGGTCTGCGTATTAACACCAGAATTGTATCAGCAAACACACAGAATGAACAGATGAGGAAGTATTCGCTGAATTTGACAAATTTAATTTGGATAACAATCACAACCTTAAAATATGTCTATATTCCATCAAAATGACAGATGAAAGGATAACAACCACCGGCAGAATGGATTTAGAAAATACACTCGTATTACCCCCACACTGTACAGGCTAAAATAACAGTGTTTTATAATTATAGCGAAATAATATGTGTGTTTTTAAAGAATAACTTCTTGGGATGTTTTGAAGAAGGATTGAGATGTATGGGTGTGTTTATTAAAAGATCAGACTAGATAGTGCCCGCTTTGAAAGGACTACACTCCCGTCTTTCTTGGCCCCACTTTACACCAAGCTTCATTGAAGACTAGAAAAGCTTGGTTCATTATATATAGTATTCTTACTAAAAAGAGAGTAAACAACAAACAAATAAACATAACATGTACTTAGTGAAAAGTCATTAGTCAATATGCTCTTAAAAAGACACAAATAAAGATTGTAAATGTACTCACGTGTTGGTTTCCCATCAAACACCACATACGTCTGTGAGCCTTTTAGGTCTTTAAATTTCCACTCGACCCTGGCGTTGGAACCGAAGTCGGCTGAATACGAGCACGTGAGGTCCGTCCCTGGAAAAAACACAATTACGTTTAAGTCATAAGCAATAAAAAAGGTAGTATTTTTAAAATGAATCTCTGACTCACCTTCATTCTCTTTGACCTGCACTTTGTTGTTGGTGGTGGTGACTGAAAAGCTTCTTACACCTGGACACAGAGATTAAAAGGAAACATGTCATTAGGCGATGAAGTCACATGTGGTCTGTCGCCATAATGCATCCCAGAAAATGTGCACAACATATTGTATGTAAAGGTATTATTTTTACACATTTAAAACGTTAGTTGCATGACTGATTCAGTTCTATAGTTTGCATAGGATGTTTTATTGCCACTAAAGACTTTTGGCAGAAGTTCATCAGCACATTTTAAGCTGAGTCTAAATTCTCCCTTCCTGTAAATACAGCTTTGGGTTTGAGGCTGATTATGGAGTCAGTGACGGCAGAGTCTTCTCTGTGGGTTTCATCCATAGACTGGTTTTATCACCTTACTCTCCAAACATTGTTAAATAAACATGAACAAATAGTAATGCAGTGCACACACCATAGGCAGTGGTGGAGTGTAGTGAAGTACCTTTACTTAAGTACTGTACTCAAACACAATTTAAAGCATTATTAATTTAGCGAGTATTTTCATTTGATGTTACTTTATCATTCAAGGGAAGCTGTGGCTCAGTGGATAGTGTGCTGGACTTCGAATCAGGGGATAGCAAGTTTGATTCCCACTGCAGTCAGCATGACGTTGTGTCCCTGAGACACTTCACCCCAAAGTGCTCCTGTGGGGATTGTCCACAGTACTGAATGTATGTAAGTCTAACAAATGATGTAATTCTTATTCACAACATTTTAGAGGCAAGTATTCTACTTTTTCCTCCATTACATTTACTGTATCCGACAGCTTTATTTACTTTACAGATTGAGATAATTAGCCAATACAAATTATAAATAAATAGCAACTACATATAATTATAGGTTCAAATATCCAGCAGCAGTATGTCATAACAATTAGCTCCACGAATGCGCCTAACAGGTAACTTTGTTTCCCCCCGGTACTTTAAGTACTTTTGAATGCTAATACTTTTGTACGTTTACTCAAGTAAGATTTTGAATGCAGGACTTTAGATTGTAACAGCGTATTTTTTCAAATCATTATTGCTGCTTTTACTCAAGTATCATATCGCAGTACTTCTTCCACCAATGCTAATTGGGTACACCCGTACAATCAGCTGAAACTCATCTGCCATACAGTTTATCTTTATGATGCTTATCAATCAATCTGAAAGTGGACTATTGTGGCAGTAATGCAATTACAATTCAAGCTGTTTCCAGCACTGCATTTAAAATACAAGCGCTTCTCAATAGCTCCACATTAATAATTCAAGTATATTAAGCATCCAGTTTATAGCAGCATTGCCTGCAAACTGTTTTTTTCGACTACAAGGAAGACAGGTTTAGGTCACATGATTAATAATGAGAGAAAGAGGTGGTTGTTTAACAAAGGAAAAGTATCCATTTACAGAATAAATCAGCAAATACTGCACCTTTGGATATGGATTATATGAATTAATAATAACTATTGTTTTATTATTTAAATAGTATTATTTATTATTATTATCATCATCATCATCATCATCATCGTGGTTTCTGCCTTTTTATAGATTTAAAAAAGCCCCACAAACAAGATTTGAGAACGTGATATATTAACTGAGCTTGGCTAGGGTAAAACATCTACCACAGCAATAAATATGAAGTGTGCAATCAAATCTCAGAGGCCAAGAGTATTCGTGAAAAACTAAAACACTCAGAGCATGCTCACAAGCCTTTAGGGCGTGGTAGAAAAAAAAAGAGTGACACATTCCTGTCCGCTGAGCCAGAAGACTTCCGATGAAACCATCAACAGTCGGGTTGAAACTGGGTCTTTCGAGGCTCAGTAGTGCAGCGGAGACACCTGACTATTAAAGCCTGTCTGTCACATAACATTAGCATCTATTACCCCACACTGACATTACTTTAAGTATTGAGAGTTACATGATTACCACCTTTGTGTTCAGACATGCCTGTGTAAGCTCCAACTACAGCCAGTTAATCATTAACTGTGTGTGGGGTCATTTATTGTAAACATCACCACATTTGACTACAAAAGGAAATCATACAAAAGCAGAGACTTGATAATTGTTTTAAAGTATTTAGCATTTTTACTGTGGCTACTTAAATGACTTCCTTTTTGCCTTTGAGATGTCTCTCACTGGCGGTCTCAGCTGAGATAAGGACGCAGTGTCACAGTTTTGGTTTAGATAAGCGGCTGGTGTAAAATGAAACCGGAACACTCCGTGACTTATTTTGTTTGCATACTTTGTTTTGTTTCAGGGTTGGGGAAAACTCAAGTTTAAAGTATGAGAAAACACGTGTGAAGTGCTGTATAGCGTCCGTTTCATTTAGCAGACTGTACTGCAGGTGCAATGATGAGCATTACAGCAAAGGCAAACAAAAACCAGCCGGATAGCAGCTGAAAGAAATACAATTTTGTTCAAAAACACCAGGTATGTCAACTCGTTTAACCACACTCTGCCTTGGTCTACAATAAAGTCCCTTGATGCCAGTCACTTGTGCAAGTGTAGTTTGATGAAGTGTTTAGGTTAGCACAGATCAAGTGAACACATGTTGTACATTTCATGATGTTCATGAAAATCTTTACAATGCTGCAACTTTTAAGGTTCATATAACCCTGACCGAATATTGTCAGTTGTATAATGCAAACATTGCCTAACGGTTGAAATAAACACAGCCATATTAAAAACCAGGACCTAATTACACACTAGCAGAGATGAATTAAGCACACCTGCTTTTTCTCCATGGCAGTTTTTTGCAAGGAATAAAACAAATAAACTAGTAGAGGATACGGTTATATGCGTTTTTTCCCTTGTCTACTGTATAGTGCTTACTCAGTGTTTTCATTTCTACTACATAGATCTCAGAGTGTCATGAGTGATCTGTAAAAATGTCTCCTGAGCTGTTTCAGTGAAGAGAAAGCTTAATTTCAGACCCTGTCTCCTGGAAATAATGTGCCATCAACCCATACATTAAATCCAAATACATTGATCATATGAGAGGGTTTGTGAAAATAAGTGTCTCACATATATATGGAGCGAGTATACATGTAATTAAGATACAAAAATAAAGAGCTACTGCACGGACAAGTGACTGGAATAATACAAATATGGGATTTTTACACACTCAGATGCAAGTTTGTTTTCTTAATAAACCTTCAGGGGCCTTCACTGTTCATTATGTGGCCACTGTAAAGATCAAGAGTATAATTAAGGAACCACACATTTGTATTTAAGAGCATTCTTCCTACATTCAAAAACAATGGGTAACGAAAACAAGAGGAACTAATGCATCTGATCTTTCTGGTTTTACAGCTCAGGGCGTAGTAAGACTCAAGATTCAACGGTTTAATGTCATGGTACACAACTACGGTGAAGTTATGTTATGAATGAAACATTTGGGTCACAGGTTCCTAAACAATGCAATTACAAGACATAGAACAAATACAAAAACAACAATATAATTAGCGCAAGGTTTAAGTAGTCTTATGGCCTGTCACTGTGGGATAAAACTGTCTTTGAGTCTGGTGGTAAGCAGAGGTGGGAGAAGTACTCAAATATTGTACTTGAGTAAAAGTAGAAGTAGGCTAGCCTACCAAAGTGAAAGATGTTACAAGTAAAAGTCCTGCATCATGCAGATTGGTCCATTTCAGAATAATATCAGAGTGCACGATGTACCTCTGAATTGTAACTGCGGTCAACTCAGCCGTTTCTCGCGTTTGCTTGGTCAAATAAGCAGTTCTTCATTTTTGAGTGCGTGATTTATAGCGCATTTACGGTAATCGCTGAGAAGCGGCGATAAGGCAAGAGCAAAAGAATGCATGTTTTTTCTGTTTCATGCGATACAAATGATGTTTACCATACATTAATAAAAGTGTTGGACTCAGTACTTGTTACACTACTACCACAAGTACAATCAAGTAATTTTACTGTGTACTTTTTTAGTAATGGAGTAGAAGTTCAAAGTAGCATAATATGAAAATACTCAAGTAAAGTACAAGTACCTCAAAAGTGTACTCAAGTACAGTAGGCTACTTGAGTACATGTACTTTACACCACTGGTGGTAAGCTACATATTCTGCTTCTTTTTCTTTCTTTTTTTAAACAGGGACGAAAATATTGAAATATCCTGCAAATGATAGACTACAAAATGGAAAAACCCTTGTTTAAAGTCGCTTTTGTCCAATTCACATGCAGGCGGACATGTTGTTGCGAGGACAAGCCCCGAGGTTCATTTGGGGATTCAAGCAGCAACACATACCAAAAACATTTGATTATTTAGGGACAACATAGCCATTAGGCTATAGTTGGCATTGTTGAGTTAATCTGAGCAACATTAGATTCTTTTATCAAATATTTGTCTTTCCAAAAACGTGAAATAATACAATGATTTCCAAAATAACTCACCTGTTGCAGAGAGGAAGAACAAAGCCACCGAAACCAACCTGGTGGAAAACATGTCGACCAATTCGGTCCTCTTCCGCTACACGACGCGTCCCTTCTGTACTATAATCCTGGAAAAAGGAACAGAAAGTTGAAAATAATCTTCCTTACGTCGAATAATGAACCAGACGCGTATATTTCGCAACTCTTAATTGACTGTATCGCTGTTTCTTCAGCATTTACCGTGTGCTCTCACCTGAGAAGTCCACCCAGGTGACAACAAGCTATGTAACTTCCGGTAATAGGATCCTCTCTCAGGTGCCTCGGTGACGACAGAGTGGAAAAACTGGTTTAACCAGAACGAAGCTGTTACAAAGCACATTCACAAGCAGAGAGCACAGTGGTGTGTTTCTACACCATATTTACACAGTTTGTGTTCAGGTCTTTGAACCCTCCCCAATTTTGACATAGATTTTTGTCTTCCTCTATTTAATCTCTTTCAATTCCCTCTTTATTCTTGTGGTGAGGTATTTTTCTGTCGGAATTGCACTTTAGAATTTGTATTTGCTTTAGTAGCCTATGTGCACACCCATAGCATAGGCATCATGTCCTCACCACTTTTTTTTAAATGGCCAACTTTGTCCCCACCACTTTTTAAATGTATAACTTGTAAGAAATGTAATAAACAAGAACACTGGTTTAGTTTCAAGATGTGCGATTTGGACATGTTAGTAAACTTAAGCAACTTTTAAAATGATTTGTATGGCCCGACAGATTTAAAAAAAAAAATGCAGCCTTTTTTTCCGTCCCTCTTTTGTGTCCTTGCCAACCTTGAGGCTTGCAAGGACACAACATATCTCATTATTTGAAAACTCACAAAGATGATAAAGAAAATGAAAAGATAAGAAGTCCTGCACCTTTGTGTATGTTTCTTTCTTAAACCAGCAAATAAAAATCATTGCCCCCAATTACAAAAATTTTTTTAATTACTATTTACATTTTTGTTGTTGTTGTAAAACAGTTTTGAATGCAACGTTTTTTTAAATGTATTATGATCATGTTATTGGTGTCGGGGTGTGATTGTACTGCCTATGTTTGGGATTCGAACCCACATTTGCACAGCAATAATAGTTATGGGCTCACCGTCCCTCACCGGACTCACGGGACTGTCCCTTGGAGGTTTTATTACTATTATTATATTTATCTATTAATACATTTTATATAGTTTTGTTTAATTTATAGTTTACCATTCTTTGTCTGTTGGAGGTGCACGGCCCTGTAAAGCTGGCTTGTGCAATTTTTGTAATGTTTTTTGTTGTTGTAATTGTTATTGTTATTTTAAATGTTGTATTTTTTTTATTATTATCATTTTATTATTCATTGTATTTTTTATCATACTTTTTTAATATTATTATTTTATATAATGGTATTCTATTTTTATTTTTTTAATGTATTTATTACATGTTTCACTTTCTTTTTATTGTAATGTGTTGTATAATTGTATTATTATTGTTTTTATTATTATTCATTTATTTAAATATTATTAATATTGTATCATCATTATTCCCACACAATTATTGGTTTTTAGTTATTCAATATTTATGTATTTATTGCATTTTTTTATTCCTTTAATTGAACTTTTAATTGTTTTATTGTGATTATAATTGTGTATGAATTTATTGTATTATTATTATTATGTTATTTATTATTATTTTTAGGGTTAAGTTATTATCTGAAAACCATATGAGATCAGTCATAATATAATGAAAAAACGATGCGCCAATATTACCATTACTATTATTGTGGGCTATAAAACCTTATAATAGGAACAATATTAGGTTACATTGCCATTTTTGTATTAATTTGGACTACAATAAATGCATTTGGAATAGTGGTTACCTGCTGTGGATAAATGTAAAATGCACATTTTCTTAACAAAGAATTAAGCAAATCTAATTCAATTGAAAGTTCTTATATCATCCGTACAAAGCCCACACACAGCACACACACAGTGCACACACAGTATATCAGATATTCACAAACTTCTGGCAATATAGTTTATCATCAAACCCTCCAGAAAATAGTGAACACATTAAGAAAAATGTTGCTTTGCACAGACAAATGATAATATTGCTCTATAAAGTTTATTGCATAATTTCAGGATAGTTGTGGTATTCAGCAGCTCTCATTTGTAAAGACTGTACTCCAGCCATTGAGGTAAACCATTTTCAGGATATTGTAAAAACACAGACACATTCCTTTAGCCTGTGTAATGCAGTATTTTTCAAATTACATGCTGAAAATCTCAAAACCCACTGCTCAGACACAATACTCAGCTTTGCATTTTTTGAAATTCTGGTATTTCCTCTTTCTTGTTGACACTTGCAAGTGCAATCCTACAGGAAACCAACAGCATAGCAGACATACTAACTGCACATGCACAGTATAGATCATGCATAAACATGTGTCGGTTAGCTTCATTATTAAGCGTGTTTCTACTTTAATGCTGTTACAGTTTATTGTCATTATACGGTACATAGTACAGCAGTGCTCTTCAGTGCATTTAAATGATTGTGCTCTGGCTACACACCACCTACTCAACTATATACACAAGTACAAATCCTTAAGACAAGACACTGCACGATATAAAGCATATTCAGCGTATAAATAGAACCATGTGGATCTGACTAAACGTATAGCCTTCAGAAACATACTACTGTATATCAATGACGGCAAGCCTCGGCTGAACATGGATCATGTGTCTCAGGCACAAGTGAAAGGCGAAATAAAAACAGAGTTTGTGTTTTGTTTTTGTTTGTCACAACAATCGAGAGACTGTATACATCGTCTCCTTAGACTAGTAGAGTAGATAGAAACTGTATTGCTCATGCATACATTAGAAGTCAGACAAAACCAGTTTTAAAAGGGCCCTATTCTGCTCATTTGAGGTTCATATCAGTATGTAGTGTCTCTACTGGGACATGTCTCCATGCTTTAATGTTCAAAAAGCTCTTTATTGTTCTCATACTCCCTGTGCTGCAGCACCTCTTTTCACCCTCTGTCTGAAACCAGAGCCCAGTCTGCTCTGATTGGTTAGCTGGCCGGCTCTGTTGTGATTGGTCAACCGTTAGAGATGTCGCGCCCCTTAGCCTATCACATACAATGTGTGGAGCCCTTGCCAATAGCAGCGCTAGTCTTACATAGTGATGTCACTATGTTACGGAAGAAAACTAAATAATTTGATGTAGACGTTTCAGGCAGGGGGGGAGTGTGTGGGAGTGAATCTCCCTCTGGAGGGAACTTTGGGATTTTAGCCATTGCAGACCATTTACATGCATGAAAAACCATACAAGAGACTATAGGAAAGGGAAACCCAATAAAGTACAATAGGGCCCCTTTAAAGTTTTTGTTTCTCTGCTTGTCGTTAGATGAATCCCTGCCAAAGCTATCTGTGTGGCCCTACCCAGTTCCTATCGACTGATACAACACAATCTGCCCCTGTTGGCCTGTGTGGCACAAGGTCGCCTCTGTCTGCCCTCATCATGCCAAGAAGGACTCACAGGGGACGGATTTCATTCAAGCAAAATAGATTGCTCACTTCAAAGAGTGATGATAGTCAGCAATAATGTCACATTGCGGGGCTTAACGCTGCATCACTTCTGAGCTCCCCAAATTGTAATTCCTCGCTGGGTAATCTGTTTTCATCTCTCTGTAAAACCCCCTCTTAGTCGCTGTCCTCATAGATAATTATTTCTTGTTATTAAGACTGAAGGCTAAAGCTCTTTAAATTACATTGAATAACTTCAAAATTATTGAATGTAAATAATAAATATTACAGAATATAGACTTTCAGTTTAAGTCACATTCATGCATTTTACTCATCACCCTGTTAATGATGTCTGTCAGAAATGCATCCAACAGATTTCTACCGCACATTGCAATAACTGTTTATATGTGAGAGTACTGTGGAGTATAATGCAGTAGTACATGTGCTTAGTATTGTGCATGATGCAGGCCTGCGTGACATACCAAATCTACACTATACGTTCATTCACTTCAGCTTATTGCACAACTTCAGTCACCAGTCATCGGATGAGTATGGGTGCAGTGTTAACGTATGCAGCAGTTTGGCGACTCGTTCACAGCCAGTGAATATCCAGCAGCATCGGAAGTGTCATCAAGGTCAGCATCAGGCCACTGCAGCTTTGAAATAGGACACTCCACGCAGAGCATGGGAGGAGGAGCCCTGCAATAAGAACAATTATACAGGTTTGTTTTGCAATCACTCAAATGTTTTATTTTTTCCAAAACAATGACTGTGAGCAGCTTACTTTTGAAGATCACTGTGGTTTTGGTTGCTGTGGCGCCCGTGTCTGCAAGTTTGATGCTGCAAGTGAAGTTGGACTTGCCGTTGGGCAGGTTTTTAAACAGCAGGCGACAGATGTTGCCAGGGAAGATGCGGGCCCTGGCTTTCTTCTTGAAGGGGGCATGCTGCTCCTCGTCCGGGTCCGTGGTGTCAAAGAGTCGCTCCCCGTTTGTGTACTTGCAATAAGGTGTTGGTGACTCAGCGGGAACCGCATATTTGCAATCCATCCTGAGGTGTTGGTCATCTATTGAGCAGTAGTTCAACTGAATCACCTTCTGGGCTGACGCAAAGCCTTTGTGGAGTTTAAAACACAGAGAAAAACTCACTCAGGTTAGAAAATGAATGTATTATTTCCTCTCTCAACATTATGAAAAACAATGATCTTACCAAAAAGTAAAATTGTGGCAAGGAACAACATTCTCCCAATTTCCCTGCAAAAAAAAGGAAGGTACAAGAAAATAAAAATATTCACCACGCAATTATAAACCGAACCAAACAGCAAGCTTGCTGTCACGTCTTTACATTATTGAGGTTTGAATCAAATACAGCTGACTGTGCTGTAAAGAGAAGGGTCAGATTTCATGAATAACACACTTAACTGCGGAGGTTACTGTAGAAAAGTCACTGTACCATAATACTGAGTAGAAGACAGCCTCACTGTTTTACGCTGCAAAGAGATGAACTGCAAACTTCTCTGGTGATTTGCCAGCACTGACACATTTCTGAGCTTAACCCCCCTCGAGAACAATGCTCTGATTCCTTGCCTACTTGTATTAAATATGTTAAGAAAATACCCATAAACCAGTTCATCTCTTTCTGATTGCTTGATGCAGAGCGTCTCCCGCCTTCAGACAAATATTTGCTTTAGTG